TTTCGTGGCTCTCCTTTAAGGGTTGACTCTGGATTGTTGACTAGAATTATACTAGCTTGGGTGATTTACGAATAAGCTAGCTTGAATGATGACGTTTTGTATGATTATGTAATATATTATGATTAAAACTTAAGTATAACTTATAAAAATAAAATAACAACATGGAAGCAACATGAAAATACAAACTGCTATACCATAACTAAGCCATTCATTCACTCTTTTCATTTTCTTCATATTTTCATTATCTTCCACGAAGTTTAAATCCTTGTATCGCACATTCATTCTTTTAGTTTTATTATCAATTTGAGTGGACCATAAATTAATTTTCTCACTTTAGAGTCATAGAGTGAAGTTTTGCTTGTATTTTCTTTAATTTTGTTCATTATATTTAAGAAGCATTCTAAGCCTATGTTTCACTACGGAGGTGCTGACTCACACAGGAAGAGTCATTTTTTTCAAGAATTTTTCAATGATTATCTTCATTTTTATCATTATTAAATTTTCTTAGGTAAAAGTTAACTTTTGACATTTTTTCTTTTTTTGGTATCTATGGTGGCTGGATAAATTTTGATCGCATAAGTACTTCAAAAACTCTTATTTTCACCTCAAATTTTGATAACATTTCTCCTTATCTCTAGGATAGGGCTATAAGAAAATATCCCTAGACCTATTACCTAATGTGTAAAAATAATGTGCTAAGAGGCACTTTGAGAGGAACCATACCTAACATGTGGATAGCTATGCTTAAGATGACTTTAACCATGCTTCTTTGATAGAACTAATCATGTCTAGGTCATAGAGATTTTATGGGGCTCCCTTCATATAGATAACTATGTTGGGTATGAGGGTTAACTGTAAGTATACCATATCATGCATATTGCCAGGGAAATTTTGGTTGAATTATCATACATATAAAAATAGAACTTCATATCCATATTGATAACTACATTTCAATGAATAACTTCAATTTTGATAAAAATATTTTTGTAGCTATTGTAGGCTTTAGTATTGAACCTTTTGGGATTAACATCAGAAGGATATAAAATAAAAGTTAGGAAATTTAAATTATCATAGAGTAAACACTCAAAACATTCAAAAGAGAAGTGGGAGATAAATAAGTTTAAAAATCTACCCAATACCTTTTCTCGAGTGAACAAAATTTCAACAGGTCTTTACCAACCAAGTGCCTCCACTTCCATTGTCTTAAAAAGAGGGTTCAATCTTTATATTTGTAGAGGTAAATGGGAGAGGGAAATGCCTACCCAAGAAATATGAGACAAAATGTTCCACTTGACTTAACTAGCTTTTGGGTACCTATTAGGGGTAACTAATGACCTACTAAGGTTAACAACAACCCAATAACATTGTCAATTCTTAATTATTTATTTAGCTTTTATTTTACATGTTTTAGCGATCATAAGTCTTTATTAAGTTGAAAATCATGTTTAACTTTATGAAATTTGCCATCACATTTACTACAAGAATGTTAAGCATCTCCAACAAAATATTAAGCTAAAAAAATATGAAATTTCATTGAAAAAATTAATTTCCAATGGATTTTTAGCAAAAGTATATCCACCATTAAAAATGACAAAGGAGAAAGTTTTTAGTGTTTTTATTTTTGTCATAAATATTTCCGACAAATTACCAGTAAAAAAAATGAGTGAAAAGGCCACTGCCATTGTAATTACCAATGATTTATATATTATTACCGGTAATTTCATCTATTTATCGACATATATTTTCATCAAATTTATCGTTGATAAGAATCGTCGGTAATACGACTAATAAACTGGTAGGTACATTCCACGAGTAAATAGATGTGGATATATACCTCAATTGTCCTCCCTAAAAAAAAAAATTTATATTATATATATTTTTTGTGGCTAATATCAAGTTTCATTATTATTTAAGGGCCTTAGTTACTTTTGGTAGCTAAAAGATATCCTTAGCGATCATTTTCTTTTTGACTCTATTTTTTTGTTCGCTATTGACTCATTTTGTTGTAGTAAAGGGTACGTTCGAGCCAAATTTGAGACAACACCAGCAGTTACTTATAAGGCTTGTTCTACCCCTACGAGTAAAAAAGATTTTTATTTTTTTTATATTTTGTAAGTTTTTTATTCCAAATAACTTATGTCATTACTGATCATTTTTCTATCAAAATCCACTAAAAACTTAAATGAAATTAAGAAAAAATGCAATTATGCTGTGACTATTTCTCTTCTAAACCAAAGCAGAAAAATATATTTCATAAATTCACAAAAACAACCCATTCAAATAACATATTCCTAACTATGCAAAATATACCTTCTGAATGTTATAAAGATATTAAAACATTAAATATTTAATTGTTCTTTATGCACAAAATATATCATATATAAAATATAAATATAACAAACTCATCCTCATCAATTCGGGCACGGAAAGCATCGGCGTATGTGTTATTTCAGCATCAGTGTATTTTATAGTACAAAAAATTCTTAAACTAGAAATTTTTACTATAAAATTGTCTTAGGCTTCGTTTGGGATGACTTTCTTACTTCTTCATTAAGCAGTTTTTTAGTACAAAAAAATAAAAACTTTTGTACTAGAAAGCTACTTTAAGAAATAGTAAGAAAGTCGTCCCAAACGAAGCCTTAAAAAATAGTAAGAAAGTTGTCCCAAATGAAACCTATCAATCTTAGCTTCAATAATGAATATTGTTGCTTAACAAACTTGTCTGCAAATGGATCGAAGGATCTTTGTCCAGCAAAGAATCCTTTTAAAAGATATTACGAACCCTCCAGCTTAATGCCACAACGTACAAAGTTGTTAGCTTGTGTAGATCTATATATGTTATAAGTGGCATAAAGCGATAAAAACAATTTCCTCAATTTACATGCTTTGAAGCAAAGATACAGATGCAGCAGAAGTAGCATGCAAGAAAGTTATAAGAAGGAAGCAGCAGCGAGAAGGCCTGCTTCTGCATCTTTTCTGAATCTTTGGATTTAGTCCAATGTACTGACGTTTGATAGTTTCCTGGAAGATTCCAAAATATCCAACTTGTCTGTGTACCTGAAACTTCGATTGTTTTGTTATATTTTATTCACAGCTAGTTGCCAAAAGTATTGGAGAAGTCTGCATGCATGCCTGCCATCTCCTCAGATGAGGATAGAAGAATATCATTTGAATTTGGAGAATGATGATCATCTTATTTTGGAGAGTTTAAAAAGTAGGAGTGTAATCGAGGCATTGTTTGCGACAACTTTTTTACTGCTTCTTAAAAAACTTTTTAGTACAATTTTTGTACTGGAAAGCCGCTTTAAGAAGCGGTAAGAAAGCCATCCCAAACAAAGCTTGAGTCATGCAGACTAGTGAGTTGGTTTGAGCTCGACTCGATGAATGACTTGTGAGTTGAGTTTGGTGAGCTGACAAGATAAGTTTGAGCTAACGCTAACTCTGATGAAATCTTGAAAGAAGATGAAGGCGGGAAGATACAGAGAAATGCGAAAATAGAAATTGTATTATTGTGTTTGGTGTACAGAGGAAAACTATATATAAGCCATTACAGGAATTAATTACAAGTAAGGACAAGTGAGGAAATACGGTTTAGTGCTTTAATAAACTCAACTCATCAGCTCGTGAGACAAATCATTTAGAAAAATGTTAATATAAAATATACTTAAATAAAAATGAAATAATTTTGGTATAAAGTAGTTAAAATATTTAAAATTTCTATTTCTATTTCTTTTTTCAATTGTTACCTTATTTTCTTATTACATCTTATTTAAGTATTATTCTTTATATTATGCTGTAATAATAACAGCTCGTATAAAAATGATTTTCTTCCTTTTATAATAAATGAGTCGATTCAAACTCTAGAACCAAGCTCTAGCACGAGCTCGAACTTGATTAATTAATCAAACTCAAGCTCAAGTCGAAGGTGACTCCAGCTCGTCTCGACTCATTCACTCCTCCACTTTAAAATAATATTAATTTTCTTACTCATTTTAAAAAATAAAGGTAATAAAATCTAATTGCCTATCCCTGTTATCAATCTCAACATTCACAGGCTTGCTGATGAAGCTGCAGCTAGCTCCACTCATCAAAGGTTCAGAAAGAATTTTATGAGTGGAAAAATTAAGAACATTTATATTATTATCATTCGTCTCAAATTTAAAGAGATAAAAATATTTTATCAAAACTTTAATTAAAATGAACTTCAAAATCTAGGATTTGGTAAGCCGTTTGTACTCAACCTCTTTTTCTTATGGTGAAGCCGTTCTCCCTCCTCCCTTGTGTTTTTTCCCAGATTTGAGTTTTCCACATAAATCATTTGTTTTCATTTGTATTTTGCAAACCATGATTTACGATTTCTGTGTCTTTGATTCATCATTCCCTGACAATCTATAATACAACAATTTTATAAACAGTTTTAAAGATAGAAGATGCATATTTCTCCAAATATGAACATTATGTGGCATATAAAGTCATATTGAATTGCTAAGATTTGAAATGGATATTGTCAATGTAAAAATTCAATGAGAAGAAGATGATCACATGAGTATGCAGGTTTCTTTCCTAATAGAAAAGGGTGGACATATTGAAACCTGGAACAATGAAAGATAATCACAAAACAGATTGACAGACTAAAATCACTTTTTCCTACAAAGAGAACAAAGTAATGGCAAAACTTTCTGCTCAGAATTTTTTTTTTTTTACTTTGTTGAGAGGAAAGATGGAATGTGACTTTTTAAATCTTAATCATTCAAAATGTACGAGAATGTGCTGTTTTACCCTTCTAAATGAATAGCAATCTAACTTTCTCTCTCTATATTTCCTTATTTACTTATCTGCTAAAAATTAAACGGTCGTTTTTCAGCAAGAAGACAACTGAAGAGAGTTCTACGCAAATTCCCCCACATGAATGTCCACTACAAGTAAGCCAGAGTAACTTAGAGCAAGAACTTCAAAGGACTTGTTGGAGCTCTACTCTCTGAGCTCTTTGTAAAAGAGCTATGAAGTCGACCAACAAGGAAAGAATGTTGGAGGAAAAGCTAGAGGAAGATAATGAAAGAGAGTTATGTAATGACCTTTGCTATCCTTTGCATTGGTTCAAAATGCTGGCAACTGAGATGCATTGGAGCTTCATTTATGGCATTGTGGTGGTTAATGGCATCAACCAGGGGCTAGGCGGAGCCGTTGGCCGAGTGGCTTCAGACTATTACTGGAAGGATGTCCAGGAGGTTCAGCCTTCAGAGTCTCAGGTTTATCAGGGGATAACTTCCCTCCCATGGATCATTAAACCACTCTGGGGTCTCCTCACTGACATCCTCCCCGTCGCCGGCTACCGGAGAAGGCCCTACTTGATTTTAGCAGGCAAGATGTGATTTTTTTGCATATTTTTCTTTCCTACAGACTGTTTTGTCATTCATATTAAAATTCTATAGCAGAATTTATGAAAATTTGTAAAAATACTATCACAGAACTTACTGATGAAAATGCAGAAAATGTGTTTTTTGTCTAGTGTGAAATGATGATTTCTTTAAACCTTCAGGTCTTCTGGGAGCAATTTCTATGCTCATAATATGGCTAGAGAAGGATCTATTTACTATGCTTGCCTTGCTTCTGCTCACCATAGCAAATGCAGGATCAGCAATAGCAGATGTTACTATTGATGCTTGTATTGCTCAGAACAGTGTAACTCACCCTTCACTTGCCTCCGACATGCAAAGCCTCTGTGGCTTGAGTTCTTCCATTGGAGGCTTACTTGGTTTCTCCATCAGTGCCTTCCTCATGGACGCAATTAGTTCTCAGGTTACCAATACAAATATTTGCATAGATTCGTTTCAGCCATTACATATTATTTTCTTTACATTAAACTGTTTATGTAAATAACATACAGGAGGCACTTGGACTGCTAAGCTTTCCTTCTTTACTGGTGCTCTCGGTTGGAATGGTACTGAAAGAGCAGTATGCACAAGATTTTTCATATTGTCAGGTAATCATTGAAGTGATTATTGAGTAACTGCAATTTGTAATTTTTTCTCCTTTCAAATTACTTTCATTCCAAAGAAATTAGGTTTTGTTTGGGACGGCTTTCTTACTGCTTTTTAAAGCAGCTCTTTAGTAGAAAAATAATAAGAAGCAGTAAGAAAGCCGTCCCAAACGAAGCCTTAATATCATTGTATTATGTCGATTGTTTACGTTCCAATTTATGTGATTAGATCCACGAGAAGCTAATGCAAGCAAATAAAACAATGTGGAAAACATTGAAGTGCGCTGAGGTTTGGAAGCCATGTATCTTTACTTTTGCTTCTCTGGCTCTCAGTTTGAACATCCAAGAAGGAATGTTCTACTGGTACACGGATAGCAGCACTGGACCAGCCTTCTCCCAGGTTAGATTCAATCAAAATTCCATTAATTCATGAATACTTTTCAAATCCATATTAAAATCTGTTAACAACTCACAAACAAAACCAATTTCTATTGCAGAAGAACATCAGTTTCAACTATTCCATTGGCTCTATAGGATCTCTACTTGGTGTCCTACTCTACCAAAACTCACTCAAGGATTATCCTTTCCGTTTCATTCTGTTTTGGACGCAGTTCCTCTCAAGCATACTAGGATTTCTAGATCTCGTGCTGGTTCTTCGCCTCAACCTCAAGCTTGGCATTGAAGATTACATATTCATGGTGATCAGTGAGGCCATTTCGCAGATGGTCGGTCGTGTAAAGTGGATGCCAATCCTTGTGCTAAGTTCCCAGCTCTGTCCAATAGGGATAGAAGGCACCTTCTTTGCATTGCTAATGTCCATTGATCATGTTGGCTTGCTTGTTTCCTCGTGGGGCGGCGGCCTGATGCTTCAGCTACTTAAAGTTACAAGAACAGAGTTTGGTAATCTGTGGATGGCTATATTGATTCGAAATTTGTTAAGATTACTACCTCTTCTGCTATTAAATTTGGTTCCTAAGAATGATCAGAATTCCATGGTTCAGTCTGAAGATTATTTTGTGAGTAATGAAGCAGTGGGAGCTGTGTTATCAGATACAAATGGTGTGGATCATGAGTCACTTATCCTTCATTGAAGAGACTAAATTAAGCTAGCACTCTAGTTATTTAGTTGTTGTTAGCTCTATGAGTACTACTGAATCATCTATCCTGTCATTTTGTTGAACATATATTAAAGGGGATTCTCAGGCTATCTATTCAAGTATGGATTTTGCTGTCATTGAGATGTTTTGATCTGTAGCATCTGTAATTCTTCTTTTTGTTCTGAAGTATCCTTCAAGCTTCTATTGTAATATTAAAAAGTGCAATGCGCCTTTCTTTTTTGTATGTAATGTTTGTTGGACTTGACATAAGCTCTCTTTTTTGTCTAGGAAAAATCTCCAACTAATATTATTCCTGTGATATGCATGTACCATACTATAAATTTAGCAAAACTAAATAAAGGAAGATTCACAGTAAAAATTAAGTATAGAAGTTATGTAAATTGGTCTTAAATAACACATTATTAGAGCATCTCCAACCGAAAATCTCATTTTTCACTCCAAAATGCCGTGAAACTAAAAAAATGCCGTGATTCATCTCTAATTGAACTCCATTTTCCCCCTTTCGCAGGTAACAGTCGTCTCTTCTTTCGCGCGGCAAGTTCGGTAGAGACATAAAAATGGCGGAGATGAACAGTGCAACGCCAATATTGGCGTCCCACTGTTCACCCGCATCTAAATAGCGAAAGTTTTACCGTTCGGCTAGAGCGGGCGAGGGATGCCATTCAAGGGTTTGGAGTTCGGTTGGAGATGGCCTTATATTTTTTTTTTTTTTTTTTTGTGACATTTAGGCCAGTTAGGACAAACTCACACACACACATCACATATGTAATATTCTAACCGAAGTCCTTTTGGTTGATAGACAAAACTCCAATTCAATAGACCAAGGTTAGTTGCGTACATTATTATATTTCTTAAAACCTACGATAGATTGTTAAATAGGCATTATCATTTGTTGTGGAGTATGATGAGAATGAACAACTCTCATAAAAGTAAATTAAATAACCACTATACAACAAAATTATCTTAGTGGTAATGGCCATAGCATCAAACTCAGCTTTTGTGAAAGATTGAGAAACAACACTTTCTTTCTTACCCTTCTAAGAAATATATAGAAATTAGTGATAGATTTACAATTTATTAGATTACTTGTCAAATCAACATCAAACTAATCACATAACTCTAAACAAAATATTGATGGGAAGAGATATAAAAATGTCTATATATAGTCAGAAGAACATACTCTAGAAAAAGCGACAACATGAAGATAAAAGATAAATGGAGAGGACAAATTTGTAGAATAAAAAATATAACTTATGTTTTATGCTAGAGAATCAACTTTTCTAGTGAGGGAATGTTTAATAAATATTCATCATGCTTAGGTAGAAATAATAAAAGATACCAAATTTTTTGCATGATCCAATAAAAGGAAAAATCATGGATTTAGCCTAGTTGGAACAATCTACTATATAACTAAAGATGTAGTAATCCACTTTTTTCCATAACTGAAGATGATGATATTACTCATGGTTGAGAACAATTATCTAAGTCTTGCTAAAAAGATTATAGATGTTGGATGTCCGCAATCTAACAATTGAAGTATAATAATGAGGTTGAATGTTAGTAGTTAAATGAAAATAATTACATGACGAAAGTTAGTGATAGTGGCAACAATTGTTGATGTTAGCCATTGATGATAATTGCTGAGTAATTCAATAGAGTTCTTATGCTCTTTCAGCATATATATAATTTTTTTAGATAAGCATTTTGATAAATTTGACTAGAATAAAAATACTACATCGTATTGATCCCCTTAATAATTTATTCAATATTTGAGTACCTTAATGGCCTAAGAATTAAATGATATTGTGCTCGTTTGATTCATATCATCACTGAGACATTCAATTTAATGATAAGTTTATTGAAATTAAAGTTTAGATGATTTTAAATTTAATTTTGAAAACTTTTAACTCAAATATTAGCTCGAAATTCAAGCTAGTCAAATATATTTTTTAGAGATGTATCAACTTAATAGCTTCCGCATGAGAAAATCATACTCTTGTCAATAATTACAATCATAATACATACAATTTGTAAAATAAAAATAATGTCAAAATATCGTAATATAAATTATAGTCAAATTTACTTAGAAATGTCATTAAATTTACTTTAAGATTAGTGCAATATAAATTTTTCTTACATACCACTAATATTTAATCACATTCAATAATATTTAAATCTATATACAATATATTGTAAGATTCTTGCACATTTTTTTTTTAATTCAACTAAAATATATGAACTTATATAATTGGTTGAAATCAATGTTATGGTTATACTCCTTTTAAGATATATGTTGCATTTGCGCTTCGTTTGTGACAACCTTATTATTGCTTTTTGAAGAAATGTTTTAGTTTATTCAGGACAATTATGGTTTCTTACACAAGCAACTTCCCCTTAAGTACCTTGGCACTCCTCTTTATAGGGGTAGGAAAAGATCTCATTTATTTGGGGATATTATCTTTAATGTTAAAAAAAAACTTTCTACTTGGGCCTTTAATTTTCTCTCATTTGGGAGTAGGTTAGTTTTGATTAAGAGCATTATTTGTACATCCACATATACTTATTTCACACTTTATCTACTACTACAAATATTTGCACTAGACTTGAAAGGATTTTTAACAAATTCCTTTGAGGGGCCAAAGACGGTAAATTTGCTATTTTATGGGCCTCTTGGAGTAGATGTTCTAGTGTCCAAGATGAAGGTAAGCTGGGTTTTAAGAATTTAAGTGACATGGCCCTTAGTTTTTCTTTTAAACTTTGGTTCAATCTGAGGGTTAAAAATAGCCTTTGGTCAAAATTTCTGATTGCTAAATGCTGTGTTGGTAAACACCCTCTTAATTGTTCTATCAGAAATGAGGATTCTTTCAATTGGAAAAGGTCGTGTTCTATTAAATGGGATGCTGAAATTTTCATTCAATAGGGTTTGGGTTGTGGGGACATCTTTTTTTTGCAAGATAACTGGCTTGATTTCTCTTCTATTGATAATTTACTTAACACTCATACCACTAGTACTTGTAAAGTGGCTGATTTTATTCAAGATGGTTCCTGAAATTTAAATTATATTGCTGACATGGTTCCTATTTTTGTCATTAACCTAATAGTGAAAGTGCCTCTTCAACATGATTAAAAATATTGTATTTTATTTAAAAAGTCTAACGATGGCAGCTTCACTTGCAAAGAGGTGTGGCATTCTATCTGGTATGTTCAGCCCAAATCTAAGATTTTCTCTTCATGTTGGCAAAAAGGTATCCTTGCATCTTATTCTATTATTTTATGGAGAATTTGCAATAATTATATTCCTAATTACACCATTTTAAGGAATAAAGGTTTCTATATTGGTCTAGATGTCAATGTTGTTATCATATTGAGAATATGAATCACGAGTTTGCTAATGGGCATGTTGCTCTTAAAGTTTGGCTTTACTTCGAGAACTTGTTTACCACTCAATTTTGTAAGAATTATAACAATATCATTAATATCTTACATGAATGGGTGTTTCCTATCAAGAAGCATATTCAAAATGTGTTACCCACCATTATTCGTTGATTTTTTAGAAGAGTAGGAATGAGGCTAAGCATGAGAATATTAATAGGAATGCCTCATCCATTATCATTAAGATTAAGGATAAAGTGAGATCTTTATTTTAGAACTTTTTAAAAATTGCTAACAAACTACTGAGCGCTTTGGCTTTTTGGATCTTGGCTCTAATAGTATTTTCTCTAAATACATTTTAGTTAAATGGATTAAACCGCATATGGGTTGCTACAAACTTAACATTGACGGTGCTTTAAATAGTTCAAAAGCTGGGTGAGGTGATATCATCCGAGATTTCAATGGTAATATTGTGGTTACTTTTGTGGGCCCCTCTGAGTTTACCATTGCTATTATGGCTGAAATTTTGGCTTTAAAGTATGGTTTACAATTATGCATTTCTCTTGGGATTACTAATGTTTTGATTGAAATTGATGCTAAGATTATTATTCATTTTATTTATGGGACCAATTTTGCTAATCATTCTTATTTCTATATTATTAGGGAGATTAGAGAGTGGTTATCTTTATTCACTTCTCTATAACTCACATTTATAGGGAATGAAATGTTGCGGCTGATATTTTAGCTAATTTGGGTTGTAATTTGCCTGAGTTTATGGAATATGCGGGTTCCTCTATTCCGGCTAAGCTTGTGGGCTTTGCTAAACTGGATCGTTTGGGCACATCTTATGTTAGAACTTTATAATTTTGATCTTTTGGGTTATTACTTCTTTACTTTTTTTGGGTTTTGCTTCTCTTGTTTGGTCTGGACTTGCTCTTCTTCTAGGTTTGCCCTTTGGATCTCTATTGTAACCTTATTTACAAGTGTTGGAATTACTCGACTATGGCTCTTTGGACCAGTCAGATCCCCATTTGTTATATCTATTGGTCGGGTGATTCTATTTTTTCGTTGTTTTGGCTTGATTTGAGCTGCGTATGGAGGAATTTCTATAACGTCCATTTCTTTCTTTATTGCAAGTCGACTAGTTGGGCCGATCCTTATGAGATTTCTATTTTTTGGGTTCATTCTTCTGTTTCTTATATGTGCTATCTCGACCCCATACCTATGTTAACAGATTATATGGTTTCCTCCCAGCATAACTGGTTTATGTATTGGGGGATTCAGGTGAATGAATCTGCCAGTGGTTTTTATCATTATTTTGTTGGGTCTGTGAGAGCCTGGGTGACTCCTAGCACAAACGTAACTTCCAATCAGAGCTGGAATGTCAATATTTTTTGGTTTGGCATTGTGTGTTCTTGTGATTTTAATTGGTTATTGGAATTTAATTCGTCTGTTTCTTACATGTGCTATCTCGGCCCCATATCTTTCTTGACGGTTTGTATGGCTTCCTCCCAGCATATCTGGTTTATGTATTGGGGGATTCGGTTGAATAAGAACGATAGTGGTTTTTCTCATTTTCTTTTTGGGTCTGTGAGGGTCTGAGTGGCTCCTAGCACAAGGGTTATTTCTAGTCAGAGTTGGAATGACACTATTTACTGGTTTGGCATGGAGTGTTTTGGTGAAGTTAATTGGTTATTGGAATTTATAATGAATTATTGCTATATGTTTAGCTTTAGGGTTGCTACTACTTTGCATATTTTCTATTATAATTGTGTTGGTTTTTGTAGTCTTATTCTCTTGCAGGTTGAAAAAATCGAGATTTCTGGAGATAAGCTGGATAATTTTGGTAGGAAGACGGTGTTGATAGTATTTTCTTTTTCCTTCCTTTTTTGGGCTCTGTCCTCTGGCAGACCTAGAATGTTATTAGGTAATTTTGTAAATTATAGAGCAGAGAACCATTAGCTCTTAGATTTTCTTTTGATTTGTTTTGTAGCTCTTTCGAGCATTAGTGAGTTGAAGGTTCCCCTTAAGGACCTTGTAATATGTTTTTCAATTAACACGTAGACCCCCTTGTGGGTTTCCAAAAAAAAAAAAATAATAAAGTAATGTTTTAGTATAAATTTTTTTTAGTTCTAAAAAAAATTTAATTAAAAACTGTTTTAGAAAGTAATAAAAAGCTGAAGTCTTAGACTTGGTTTGATACATTTTTCTTATTGCTTTCTAAAATAGTTTTCTAATAGAAAATTTTTTAATATAAAAATTTTTATATCAAAAATTGTTTTAAAGGCTTAATGAAATTCTGGATCCAATTAACTTATCAATTATTATTAAGTATTTAGATGTCATTTAAGCATTTTTATAATCTACTAATTGCCCCTTGATAAAAGATTATTTCCCTGTTAGCCCTACGCATTCAAGTGGGTAGGGCCCGCACGGCCATTACGGCGTTAACGGTGCTTCGCCGAAGGGGAGATTTTTTTTTTTCTTGCTGTAGAACTTCGAGCCAAAGCTTAAATAAGCATCAATAGTTCCTTCAGCGGCAAACCCGCGGGCGAGTCGCCTCCCTCTCCCTTCCTCTTCACGCGTTCTTTTCGCGAGGGCTTCACATTCTCCAAGCCTCGATACGTTCTTCAATCCTCAAGGTTAGGGCGTTCTCGATCATGATTTTTAATGTCTTTCGTATTTTTTTCTTTTTTATTTTTCCCGTTGCTTCATCAGTTTTGCTCAGCTGTATGATTTTTTAAGCTCATGATTGTCGAAATCTCCTGTGCAATGGATACCGGTAGTTTTTTTTTTTTTTTCAGTTTTCAGTTGGTTTATTTTACTTTAATTCCAATGGTTATCTTGGAGTTGTATCGTTGGTATGTCTGTTCTGATATTGGCTTATGTTACTGATTTTTGGGGTGAATTGCGAACTTTAAGATCTGGAAAGTAACTGGTAGAATCCGATTTTTGGCTTTCATTTTTTATTTTAATGGTTGTTTCTGTATATAATCTGTAGGGTTTGATTTGTCAGTGTAGACTAAAGAAACTTTTTGATAGAATCTCTCTATGTTCGATTTTTCTGGTACCTTTAGGGGCCATTTGATATCCTATTTTAGGCATGATTTAGCTTAGATCCTACCAAGCAGTTTTCTGGGGATTTTGAATCCTACTGCTTGGATAAATCCCATTTCTACAATTATTGGTTAAAACCAATATTTGTTAAATCCCAATACACTCAAGATTTAATAGATTTAAGGATTTCTTATCTCATAAATCTTAAATCCTGAAACAAATAGTCAAACAAGCCATTGGGATTTAGTAAAATTTAATAGCTGCCATGCCAAACAGTTTTTTCAGGTTCTAATACTCTCAAGGTTTCTTAAATTTTGATTTACTGGATTTAAAACATTATTTTTTGTCAAAACGTTTGATTTGGTGCTGAAATCGAGGTTCTTAGTAACTTGATGTTTAGTAATGATACCTTGCAAGTTCTCTTTTTACATTTTTTTTTTCTTCTTTTTATTCTTATGAGAAATATTAATATATTTGCAAGTTTTCTTTTTAGATCTACACATTCTAAGCAGGTTTCCAGGTTGACCCGCCAACCCGTCGGGTCAACCCAAACCCTACTCGTTTTTCAAACGGGTCGAATCCGGGAACCCGAACCCGACCCGTTTTGAAATCGGGTGAGGTCCATCCTGGATTTTCTGAGTCGGGTCCGGGTCGGGTTTTCGTGTCGTGTCAAATATTGACACCCCTATCTACAATGGCTAATTTTTATTTAAGTTTATTGGACAACGCTTCATGTAGGCCCCTTTTTTCTTAAAACTCCCCCCTCAAGCCCCCAACGCCTCATGGCTTTGAGATTTATAATGATCCTCTCGCTTAATATCTAGTGTTCACAAAGGTCATTTTTACTGATGATATTAAATATTTTGCTAATTTAGTTTTCATTGCTTTTTTTTTTTAATAAATTTGAATGATATTAACTTTTATGTCCAAATTACCTTGATTTTCTTCTGGCACAAAAACTTGAAATTGTTCAACCCGAACATGTTGACCTTTCTAGCTTCATTGCATCAAATTCCACACTTGCCTTCATACAAGTCTTTAATCTCCACAAAAGCATGTTTAATGGAAGTTAGCCAATCCTGTTGAGCTTGAAAAGCCTTATCTTGCTTGACATCAACTACCATTTGTTCTTTGTGGTAAATCGGGGATGATGTGTGATGCAACTAAGATTAAAGATTGCAAAGAATTAGATCTTCCCTTCTTAAAACATAAATATAAACGCAAGATTACAACTTAAAAGATATTGTTTATAAAAAACTCTAAACATGACATATCGATGCGACTACACCCTTTAACTTACAAAATTTTTGAGAAAAAAGATACATATGAGGTGGGAACTGTGGATAGAGAAGAAGAGATAGAAGACCGAAACGAAATAATATAGGGGAAGGGAAAAGGAGGCAAGATCGCAAGCTAGAGAAAACTTGCAGGTTTTATATTTCACAAATTATCGCTCTAAAATATCTTTTTCCAGCAGAAAAGCAATCACTATATATAGGAAAATAAAGGAGAAGAGTAATTAATGTAGGAAATTAAGATACCACACATTAAACTATAGGAACTGCTTAAAAAAACATAAAACAGGGACTAAAAGGGCAGCAGTAAAAGGGGGAATCGAACCATCACACGGCAGCCAGGGGGGCGGGGGAATCGAAGCATCAACAGGGGGAGAATTCGAAGGATCAAACGACAGTCGGGGGGGGGGGACCGAAACTTTTCCTACATCAATTCTCCTCCGGTGGAGAGATCTCATCCCTTGATGAGATAGCTTCAGAACTTTCATTTCAAGTTGATTGAGCCATATCTAATTCATGTATTAATGCATCATACTTTCTTTGGATCATTTCTTTTTCTTGATTAAACTGGGCTTGAAATAGACTCTTTTTCTTCTCATTTCTTTATGCATATAAATTCATTTTTTCCTGAATTTTTTAAAATTTGTTATGGATTGGAGAAGTAGATCTTCCTTGTGGTGAAACTCATTTAATTGTTGGAATTGTCTCTTCTAGATTAGTTGGCTGATTTTCACCTACTACAGATTATATTTCATCTTGAACCTCAACTTGTTGATGTATATACATTTTTTTTAAAGAAAGAAGGAAGACTCGAAAAAACCTAAAACTTTGATACCAAATTGATGCAACCAAGATTAAAGATTAAAAAGAATCAGATATTTTCTTTTTTAAACATACATATAAACACAAGATCACAATTTAAAATATACTTTTTATAGATAAACATTAAACATAACACATCGACGCGACTACATCCTTCAATTTATAAAATTTTCGAGAAGAAATATACAGATGGAGTAGGAACCATGGATAGAGAAGAAGAGATAGAAGACCTAAACAAAATAATAGAGGGGAAGGAAAAAGGAGGCTAGCTCGCAAACTAGAGAAAATCTATAGGTTTTACATTCCACAAATGATCACTTAAAAACTTCTTTTTCCAGCACGAAAACAACCACCATATATACATAAATAAATGAGAAAAGTTATTAATGCAGGAAATTAAGCCACCACATGTAACTAATAAGAACTCCTTAAAAAATAGAAAAAAAGGATCGAAAGGGTAGCAACAAAAGGGGGAAACCGAAACATCACACAACGACCAAAGGGAGGTGGGGGAAACCAAAGCATCAACAGGGCGAGAATCCGAAGTATTAAATGATAGCCAAGTAGAGGGGGGGGGGACCCGAAACTTTGCCTACATCACTATATCAATATTAACCTTATCATTTCCAAAAGTAAATGAATAAAAAACATAAATAAATAAAAGGGAAAATAACATCTAGGTTCCTGAGGTTTAAATCAAGCCATGCATAAAGTAAGTTTTTAAAAACCTCCATTCCGTAATGAAGATGGGGTTGACACTTTGCTTCACTCTCCAATAGGCAAGCCACATTGATGCAGGCAAAGTTTCGAGTCCCCCTCCCCCCCCCCCCCCCCCCCGCCCGCCCCCCCCCTCTGTGGCCGCCGTGTGATGTTTCTGTTTTTCCCTTTTGTTGTTGCCCTTTTAGTCCCTATTTTTTGTTTTTTTAATGAGTTCCTATTGGTTAAATGTGTGGTGCCTTAATTTCCTATATTAATTAATCATCTCCTTTATTTTTCTATATATAATGGTTGTTTTCCTGCTTGAAAAAAAAAGTTTTTGAGTGATAATTTGCGGAATATAAAACCTGCGAGTTTTCTCTAGCTTGCGAGCTAGCTTCCTTTTTTCCTTCCCCTCTATTATTTCATCTTAGTTTTCTATTTCTTCTTTTCTATCCACGGTTCTCGCCCCATATGTATTTTTCTTTTTAAAAATTTTGTAAGTTGAAGAGTATAGTCGTGTCGATGTGTTATATTTAGTGCTTATCTATAAAAAGTGTCTTTTAAGTTGTGATCTTGCATTTATATTTATGTTTTAAGAAGAGCATATATGATTATTTGCAATATTTAATCTTAGTTGTATCAATTTGGTATCAGAGCTTTAGATTTTTGCATGTCTTTCTTCTTTCTTAAAAAACAAATAGACATTCATCAATAAGCCGAGGTCCTAAATCAAAAGGAAATAGAATATGTAGTTGGTGAAAACTAACTAACTAATCTTGAAGAGATAATTCCAACAACTAGATAGGTTTTGACCCAAGGAAGTTCAACTAATCCAATCAATAACGAATTTTACAAAATTCAGGAAAAAATGAATTTGTGTAGAAAGATATGAGAAGAAAATGAGTCTACTTCAAGCCTAGTTTAATCAAGAAAGAAGAAAGTATGTTGTATTAATATAGGAATTATGTATGAATCAATCAGCTCAAAATGGAAGTTTTGAAGCTATCTCATTAGGGGATGAGCTCTCTGCACCGGAGGAGAATTGATGTAGGCAAAGTTTCGGGTCCCCCCCGGTGCCGTTTGATGCTTCAGATTCTCCCCCTGTTGATGCTTCGGTTTCCCCCTTTTGCTGCTGCCTTTTCGGTCCCTGTTTTTTGTTTTTTAAGGAGTTCCTATTGGTTAAATATGCAGAGCCTTAATTTCCTGCATTAATTACTCTTCTCCTTTATTTTCCTATATATAGTGATTGTTTTCCTACTGGAAAAAGAAGTTTTGAGTGATAATTTGTGGAATATAAAACCTGCGTGTTTTCTCTAGCTTGCGAGCTTGCATCTTTTTCCTTTCCCCTCTATTATTTCGTCTTGGTCTTCTATCTTTTCTTCTCTATCTACGGTTCCCGCCCATCTGCATATTTCTTCTCGAAAATTTTGTAAGTTGAAGGGTGTAATCGCGTCGATGTGTCATGTTTAGTGTTTATCTATAAAAATTGTCTTTTAAGTTGTGATATTGCACTTATATTTATGTTTTAAGAAGGGAAGATCTGATTCTTTGGAATCTTTAATCTTGGTTGCATCATATAGGATATACTTTTTCAACTTCATACAATCCTCTCTTGGTCTGCTCTTGCTCTGGAAGACATTTCAAGGATTGAAAATAATTTTCATAGAAACTTTTAGGTAATTATGACACTGATTTTTCCTTGTACACCACCAATCAATTTGAGAAATTCATTTTTGTGTTCAGTGCCTAAATTTTCAGGCGTACTTGAATTTGTTCGAGTTATTTCTTAATAAGCTATCAAACGAAGTATAATTGTGTCTGAAAAATGATTTATGAAACTTGTCGGGCGTGAGTGTTTCACATTGTCTTAGCTCAAAATGACATTTGTCTCACTTATAAAATCTCTCTAATTTTTTATTAGAATTGTGTGTGTTTTTTGTGTATATTTGTCATTCAATCCTTTAGAACTATTATGTTCACCACCTTTGCTGATTCAGATGAAATGCACTCCAAATTTCTTCACAATTTGAGGAACACAATTTTCTTTCTAATCTACTTTAGCTATATTGTGCCTTATCTTCCCATGGCCAAAATTCTCATGATTCATAATACTATGGTAATATCATTTTAGTAACTTAATAATACTAATGGTTCATAATATTATGGTAGTTCTAGAAATAAATATTAGAATGATTATATACCCATGATAAACATCAACAATGTTATTATTCTTCAAAAAACAATGTTATTATTCACGTAAGTATTATATTCTCTATTATGATCCTTATGATGATCGTCATAATGAACCTAAGCAATAATATTATTAACATAAATAGTATGATTTTGATAGGAAACACTTAGATTTCCAAGTGTTTCTCACCAAAACCAAGTATATCCAATGTAAAATTGCTGTCCACAGCAGAAAAAAAGCCAAAAACAGTAGGAAAGCAGGAAAAACTGCAGAAAAATCCGAGAAAAGACTTGTATTTTACTAGTAGTTGCAAAGAAATAGCAAAGATACAATTGATCCTCAATTCGAGAGGAGGATCGATCTCTCCCAAATCTCTAGACGCCGCTAGAGCCCAAAGAAATCCTAGTTCTACGAGATCTCAAATTTCAGCCAAATTCAAGATGCTCAAACCCTAGAAAAATCTACTATTTAATGCATACAAATCAAAAGGAAATCCCTAAACAGTCCCTACATTCAAATTTCCCTCTCAAAACGCTAAAAAAAGCTTCTTAAAATGATCTCTTCGGCTGGTCGGGCCGCTCGATCTCCGCAGGAGGCGGAGATCGGTCGCTCTTTGCGACTTGCCGGTCCTGTGCGGACCGGCTGGACCGGTCCAGTGGACCGGTCTAACAGATTTATATGTGCTTGTGATGTTTACATTATGACAAAAGGTATTACAAATCTCACCCTTATTACTATCGTCAAACTAATGATTGCTCTGACTCTTCATATCTGAATTTATATATATCGTACATCTCATGAAAAGCATTATAATGAGACTTGTAATCACTAGTCATCATCAGGAAAGTGGAAACATGGATGAAGCATGGACATTTTTTGTGAAATATCTTCTTTGATATAAAACGTATCTTATTTATCTAAATGATAATGTATCTAAAGGATAATGTGTCTCATCCTCATCTATATATCCATCAATCCTCATACTTATTTGTGTACATTAAATTCTCAATGCAACTCAAATTATTACATTACATAATGAGACTTCTCCCCTTACACAACTACCCTCGGCAGTCCTTCAAACTCCTTTTACCTAATGATCATGTTTAGTTTCATAAACTGCATATTGATTTTATTTTTAAATTGTGACATTATTTCTAGAAATAAGGATAAGAAATATGTTATTTTGCTTTACTTATGATTTCATATTGAAGCTATCCCTTATTCCTAATCCCTTCTCTTACTCCTTCCCCAGATCCCTCTTTCCCCCCTTCCAAGAATCTTAAATCTAAAAGCATTCATTATCTCTTGTTGAAATCTTGATTTTTTAATTCTTCTCTCTCTCTCTCTCTCTCTCACACACACACACTTTCTTTTCACAATGAGACTTTTCTTCTTTCTTCTCTTTCTCAAAACTCTTCCTAACTTAATCCTCTCACATCTTAAGAGTAGTATTTAAGAAAATAGCTAAATCAAGCAATTTCAAACAAGTGGACGAAGGAGAAGATCACGAAGGAGATTTTAATATGTATCGTCTCCACTCATTTTTGTATCAGAACTAAAAATCATAAGGACAACTGTTACCAATTCCTCCATCCTCCCCCCTTTAATCCTCCCACTTGCTTATCCATCCAAAATAATCTTTACCACCCAAATTCCATATCACCTGAGCCAACCCCCACCCGAACCCATCACTCAAGCACATAAACATTTGCATCTCCTCCACATGCACCCTTAACCATCTAAGTGATCCCACTTCAACCTTAAAATAGCGAACCCTAACAATACCTGTAGTACCTAAAGTTACTTCCAAAACCTTGCCAAAGTCTTTAAGGCTCAAATTCAATTAAGAGATCAAGGTCATACGTTAAAATTGGATGCTTCTGATGGAGAGAATGCTGATGGTGGCAAATTTTTTGTCAGGAAAGTTCTTGTTATAACCATCATGCATGAACCTAGCTTGCACGTTAACTACACAAAAAATGAAATTACCAATTATCTTTCAGGGTAATTTTTCCGGAAATACTCGAGCATATTTTACAACTAATTTCATGGAAAGTGAAAACTTGTCTTTGAACAAAAACTATTTCTTATTTTATATGTTGTGAAATAAGTTGCACGGAAACCAGCAAAAGATAAGGAAATTGAAGTCACAAAACTAGAGCTAATAAATTGTTTAAATGATAAGATTACTGATACATATTTGCATAGTTCAAAGTGCAGCCAATTTGAACAAAAATTGAATGGAAACTAAATTGAAATAAACTAGAGTGACCACTATTAAAAGAAAGAACCAACTACGAGTTGATGCAACCAAGATATCGAATGATAACTACTCATTTTTTAATCTTACATACTTTGCTGAGTTCGATTAGAAGAAGTCAGCTAATGCCTATATTTCTTGAATTTATTGCATATTCAATCAACATTTATCTTAGTGAGAGACAACCTTTTGCCCTTTTCCTTGATAGTAGTCCCTACCGACGCTTTTTTAAACTTTGTTTTGGTTTTGTTCTCATTCTACTTCATTATATTCAACAATTTTAACGGTTTTAATATTTAGTTTTTGCCATTTTTTATTTTATTGAAACACCTTTAAAAAGAACAAGATTTTCCAATTATTATTATTTTAAAATATATTTTAGAATCTTAAATGTACTGCTGCGGATGACTTTTGAGCATTTCCATTGAGTTTTTGGTCTTTTCAACCAAGTTTTTGTAGCTTCGGTCTTACTTGCCTTGTTTGATAGATTTTGACTAAAATTTATATCTAGGTAAGTCCCAACCACAAGAATTGCTTTGAATGTAATTGCAATTATTAACCCCAAGCCTTCCTTATGATTATTTTTGCTCGTACTTTCTAGTTGAATTAAACATCTTTTTTAAATCATAATTTGCCTACTTGATGCAAAAAACATACTCTTATCATGTTGTGTGATTTCCAAAAAAATTTTTAATGGGTGTAAAATTATTCCACATCAGAATGCGCCACATCACTCATTCGCTCGGTGCCGTTGACGCGGCTGCACCTCCAAACTTAGAACTGTGTTCGGCGTCCGTATAGAATAATGCGTCAATAATATTTATTTTATCACAAATGATGTTTAGTTCATATATAGGTTCAGCCTGTAATGATCATAACAATGTTTAAAGTTGATGCTGGTCTTGTTCCCTATAAACAGGCTGTGACCGCCATGGCTATTGATTCACTTTCATCACCCCATAGGAGGTCTCAGAACCCAACTTCCTTTTCACCATCGCCTTCCAGAAAGCATCGCGACGATCTCGGAAGCTGGTCTACCCTGCTTCACCGCCATCGTTTCCTCTTGACAATGCTGGCTTTATTGGCATTTCTCTGCACCATCTATCTCTATTTCGCAGTTACGTTAGGAACACCGGATTCATGTTCTGGACTGGAAGGCACAGAGAAAGCGCTGTGCCAGAGTAATTTAATTTCCCATAATGGAAAGTTGAAGCTCTTATAGTTGTTTTTACTGAGTTTTTTGGGCAAGGAGACTTCGCTATGTTATGGTTTTGTCCAAAAGAATGAAGCCGTGTATTCATTGTTTTCTTCTTGATCAATACAAATGGCCTATCTGATTGATTGACTACTGTGGGCAAAGAATTTTTTGAAGTCTGTTTGGCATTCACACCATAAGTAGTTGAAACATGAAAATATCTTTCAGCTTTTAGATGCAGCTCATCTTGGCATGTTGGTTGAGAGCTTATGCTTCCAATTAAGAGGTCTTGGGTTCGAGTCTTTGTGTATGTGGTGTGTGTGTGAGTTTGCCTTAAATGACCTAAATGTCCAAAAAAAAAAAAAATCCAGCCTTTAGAACGGAAAATTTTATTGCTGCTTTGCTTTTTAAACTTTCAATTACAATTTTTATTTGGCCATTTTATATGATAAAAAAATTGCTATAGTAAGTTTTATTTGATACAATTTTTTTACTATTTTTTAAAGTAACTTTTTAGCACAATTCTTTTGAAAGCGGCAAAAAATAGTTACCGAAAAGCTGTTACAAACAAAGCTGAAGGTTTCGTTTGGGACGGCTATCTTACTGCTTAAAACAGCTTTTTATTACAAAAATTTTTGTATTGTACTAAAAAGCTATTTTACGTCGCAGTAAGAAAGCTATCTAGAATGAAACTTAAATTTTTTATTCTTTGTTGATTTAGGCTTCGTTTGTGACAAAATTTTTATTGTCTTTTAAAATAATTTTTTAATAAAAAAAATTTTATGCTAAAGAGTTGTTTTTGAAAGTAATAAGAAAGTTATGTCAAATTAAATCTTAATGCTTAAGTTTATATTTTTATATGGAAGTCTTTGATTTTTTACAAAATCACTTTTATAGAATTACAGAGGGCAAAGCTGGGTGTATTAACACCTCAGATCCTAAATTACTCTTAAATCTTGCCGGTGTGGAGCGTTAGGAGATAAATATTGCTTTTTTGATTGACAACAAAGATGCCTAATTACAAGAAAGCTAAATTCAGAAGTATTTGTAAGCAGATTAAAGAAAAAAAAAAAGTATTTGTAAGCATATCGGTTCATTCATTTTCAGATCTGTCATTGTAGCTACTGCTCTTACAAAAAAAGAGGAATGATGCAAATTAGGGGTATAAACGAACCGAGTTTTTGCTTAATCGAGGCAAGTTCATTTAATTTTACACTGAGCTCGGCTCGAGTGAAAATTCTAAGGCTCGAGCATGACTTTAATGCTCGATGCTCGAGCTCGAAAATAATTTCTTATCTTGAATCTAAATAAAATAATACACATTTCGACAAGCTGATGAACCTAATTGAGCCAAGTTCGAGCTCGAGCTAGTATAATGCATGAGATCAAATTTAAGCTTGAACTCGAATTTGTTGCTCGATAAGCTCAATTCAGAAACTCTTTAGCAAGAGCAAGTCGAATTCGAGATTACTTACTAATGAGCTTGGCTCACTCACATCCTTGATGCAAACCATCAATATGCTTATAGCTCATTTGTTGTTGATTTAGACCCTTCCCCATAGGTTTTCAAACAAGAAGCAGAAATTCAGTGGGAAATTTTGATTTATTGGTTGGGAACTTTGGCTATCAACTAAGACGTCTTGAGTTCGAGTATTCGTATGTATTGTGTGTGTGAGTTTACGTAATTGATCTAAATAAATGTCAAAAAAAAAAAATCCTGCTTCAATTGTGATTTTATCAACCATTTTGGATGAATTTTATGAATACTCTTTATGCATTTAGGGAAAATTCAATGCAATCCAATGATAGGAAGCTCTGTCATAGCAATTAATGTTTTTAATTTTTTATAAGTTTTTTCAAGACTCAAATAATGTATTTTTAATATTTATTTCTTAATTTTGATTGCAATTATTCAAATTGTACAAATTATTGAATAGAATTTTAATTTTTAGTCATAATTAATGATCTATCAGTGTAATATATCATCTTGATCGACTAAGTTTGCAATTCCTATTCACCAAAAGTAAATTTTTTCGTTAATATGGGAAAAAAATTTCATTATTAAATGCCTAATTATCATAATTAGGAAGTTATAATCTAAATAAGAATTCAATAATCATTATTATTATAAGCCTATTAGTATTACTAAATTAGTCATTATTAGCCCATTATGCCTAACATTTAGATGCTTTAATTATACTTTCATAATTAAATAACATGAATGCATATAATTCAATCCATATAATAATAAATTTATTCTTTTAATAAAAAAAGAAATTAATAAAAAATATTTTAAACAAATTAATTATTGAAGATGTATTTCAATTACTTCTTTCAAAATTAAAAACACGCTCATATCAATTATTAGTCCCATTATTATTATTTTTACATAGATATTTAAAACGGAGCAATGTGTCAGACAATGTATACTTCATATCAACATAAATCAAAACTATCTAAATTTTAGAACTTATCCTAACAATTTTTTTTTCTTATATCAACACATAGCCTCATTAATACAAAATTCTCAATTGACAAAAAATTTTTATACTAAAAAGTCGCTTTAGAAAGCGATAAGAAAGCTATCCCAAACGAAGCATAAGACTACCACCACTTTTCTATTTATGAAAGCTACATCATCATATACTCTACTAAATACCTATAATTTGAGTAACAGTACCCCCTTTCAATCCAAAGCTCCAAACAGCCAAGTTTGAAAACCATCAGCTTGTGTTACAAATATTGAAGGAAATTTAAATAGAACAACAAAGCTTCGAATCTATTGATGCCAAACATATGCAGAAGGCTTGATAACCAGTTAAGGGATATCTGCAAAAGTGAATCACAACATGAATAAATAAATACCAACAATTCAACATTTTAAAATACAGAACACAGAGATCACTGTCAATGTACCTGTAATCTATCACATACTTAGATTTTTCAACCCTCCCTAATTGCAGAATTGTCTGCCTTTCGTTCTTCTGTAGATTTAATACATGTTATACTTGTCTCCTACTTAAGAAAATGTTCAGGAAATAGATGAAGTTACCTCCATTGTCAGCTGGAAGTTCTTAGCTGATGTTTGGATCCGGGAACTTGTTCTTCCAGTTTTCTCTCTGAAGTCCAGTTCATATCTCTTTGTGATCTAAATGGGGCATGTTAACAAGAAACAGATAAAATAAAATCATTACCAAGTAATCTTACTCTGTGGAAGGTTCTTACATTGTTATAGTATGGCACCCTTGAGTATAGTCGATCAGCAATGTTCTTCTTCTCTTCCCAGTCATTAGGAAGGCCATTGATGTGTTGAATCTGAAATTCTCAAGAACATTAGGAACCAAAAGTTTATTATTCCTCTTCATTATTCTTATTAGTTACTGTAGAGGGAAGCTAACCTGTGTTGTTTTGTTTGTGGTCTTTGTTTGCATTGATTTTTGTTTGGGTATACACACTCTCATGCTTCTGAAACTACCTGCAAGTGTAGTGATGGTAGGCACAAACCTGCATTATACAGGTAAATAAGTGAGAGACTATTTCAAAATTGATCAAGAGAAGACTCATATTGATTTCTAGTTACGACTAAGACAACATGGAAAGAAAAAAAAAAAAAAAAAAAAAAAAGGAAAAAAAAAAAAAAAAAAAAAAAACTTAAAATTTCATCTTTTTTTTTCAAAACATTTATAGCCAACTTTAAAAAACTAAATAAGACCTTGCTTCAAATGAAAAGCAATTTTCTTACACAACAACACCCAGTAAACAAGATAGAGATTTCATGGAATCAAGTTTCCTTCCCTGCAAACACCAATGGCTCAGGTGAAAACTCGCACATTAAAAAGTAAGAGAATTTTGTTCAGCACAAAGTGTAGAAGAAAATGAAAAGTGAACCTGCTGCCATATTTGGTACTTTGATCCCATTAGATTTGAACTTATTGTTCCCAAAAAGCTTTCATCTGAGCTGCAAAATATTCCTTTGGAGTTCTGAGCTATGATGAACTCAGACCGACCATTTCTTTTTCTTGTATGGCGAGCAACAACAAGTTTTCTATCTTGCCGTCCGTGGCCTTCCTGTTATGTCAAGAACATGAGAGATTTTTGGTGATTCACTAATGCCAATGTTATTAAAGGAATTAGCATTATACAATGTAAAATCCATCACAATTGTGAAAGACTACTCTTATATTTACAATTAGTGTTGCATTACCGTTAATTTATTTTATTTTGGAATGATTCTTTTTCAAATCTGCGATTATGACGGATTAAGGAGTAAATATGCTTTGTTTTTCAACAAAATAGATTCCGTTTGGTTTTTAGATCTTAAGCTGCACCTACCGTTGAAAAAACATCCAGTTTTTTTATGCAGAATCACCTATTAAGAGTAGATACGTTGAAAACAACCAAATAACAATGAGACCAAAAATTATCAAGAAGATCTTATCGAAAATAAAAGAGGATTCAATCTATAATATAGAGAAGCCCCACAAATGTATCAATAAAAAGAAGCATAACAAAGCATTCTAACAAAACTAAGCCTTCCTAATCTTACCAAAAAAGGGAAGTCCCAAATCTCTCAGATCTTAAAAGAAAAGAGGATATAACACAAAAGTGATGCTAAACAAAAAGCTTTTGACTATTACAAAAATTGTCTACATGAAAGTTTACCAAAAGGCTACTATGCTGAATGGTTATGAAATTGGTGCAAAATTTCTGATGCCACAAATAGGCTAAACATCATGAGAAGACATCAAAATTAAATATAAATCCATAAGAGATGAGGGATTCAATCCAATATAAAAAGTCACATAAATGTACAAATGAAAGTTATATAAAAAAATACTCTTTTCTCGAGCATAAATACACCCAATCTTATATAAAAAAAAGGGAATCCTAAGTTCTTAAATCATGTAAAAGAGAGAATAGGATGGGAGAGAAAGATGATTTAACTAATAGTAAAATTTACATTCATGAAACTTACTCAAATGATTATCTCCCCCCATATCCATTAAATTGTGGCAAAATTTTCATCATACTTTCACTTCATCCAGATAGTACTCTACAATCATAAAAATTACGTTTTTTCTTCGCTTCTTTTCATTCTCTAACTTCTCAGTAAATTTTTATAATCTCTCCCCTATAATAATTCTATCCCTCTCTCTAATTTCCTTCCAAAGGAGAAGTTTACAAGCACATTAAACCTATATACATGCCAAACGAATCCAACAATTCGTCGCAGTCAGAACTAATATATCTTAATAAGAGTTTTAAGGATTTAAATTTAAAACTAAATCAGATTGAACTTTCAACTAAAATCAAGTTTAAAATTTAACTTAAACCTATCTAAAATAATGAATATTGTAACAAAATTTCACATACTTTATTAAAAAAAAAACAAAAACAAATAGATATTTTTTATCCTAACCCATTTCGATTTTGTGCTTATTTAGCTATACTAATGTGTCAAATCCAAACAATTTCTTCTCGTTTTTTAAAATAAAACTAAAGGATACAGCTTATAAAAGCCATTGGTGGCAAAGTTTTTATTTAGTTGAATTGCATCTGCTAACATTGTTCAGCCAAAAATAGATAACCAAACGAAGTAAGAGTATCAAGTTCTGAAGCGGTAAAAAGCTAGATATCTACCAAGGTTAACAGTGGACAAATATCCCACTTCAATTTACATATGAGTTAGGAAGGTGAAGGTACAGTGGCAAATCTCTAAAAAACCTGAACAAGATTCATATTATTTCATTTTCCAGGAGAAATTTTAACAAGTGTATAGACAAAGAGAAGAGCCTTAACTTGCTTTAAGAACATTCTGAGCATAAGTAAGGCAGATAGCAAAGTAGTGGACAAACCTACTAAATTAGCAGACTCACATTAGTATAAAGAACATAGCAAGAGATCCCATCCATCAACTCCTTAGATATAATGCAAGTACACCTCCCCACATCCAGTGGTAGAGGTCTCAAGAGCAGAGATCTGAAAAACCATTCAGCCCAATCATAACATAATCAACTAATTGCCAATAGTTCCACTTCTCTTTAGTACTTCACCAGAGAAAAAAACAAAAAGAGTCGAAATATGGGCGATTACCTATTAGGAAGAGCAGACCATGATGAAGCTGGAGCAGCATCTGTGTCCGAGAAGTCCCAGATATCTGAAGAAGATGGCAGGGGATCCCACGGTTTAGATGTTTCCAGAGAAGACTCTGGTTCATTGAGCCGAATACAGAGCTGCAGGGAAGAGGGCTTCAGTGCTATCTTGCTCTGTTGTGATTTGTCTGTAGTGGAAGGAAGCTTCTTTCCCTTGGAGGAGACAAAGCAACCAACTGCAGCTGATGTATGGTTGGGAGCTCTATTCTCCTTATCCATGAGCGGGTTGAGGTAGAGATAGTCGAAAGAAGATGAAGAAGAGCTTAGAACCTTTTTCTTCAGAGCAGTCATGGAGGCCAGAGATTGGGAGAGGGTGAGCGACTGAGAGTCAAGTAGAGAAGTCTAAACTTTCTCCTCTGTCTGCCTTTTGTAGCTATCTCAGAGGAGAAAATTTCAAATTTGAAATGAAGCATCGGGGGGAGTTATTATAACGGTCGTCACTCTATTGATAGAAGAAAATAGTTTTATAATTAATGGAAAAGCTTCGGTACTTCCAAATCACAGAAATCGGAAGCATTTCCGAATTTTAAAAAGCTCATTAATTATACATATTTATTAACGGCTTTCCCTCTCAATAGCTTTGAAAAAATGAGAAATTCCATTACTTTTTCACCCAAACTAAATTATTAAGATATAATTAAATTACTCAAATTTAGATCAATGTATATTAATTTTATTTGTATAAAATAGTTTATACTTTTTAATTCATTAGTAGATTTTTTATTATCTAATTAGTCAATCAATTATTATATTATATTCCTTTCAAAATAAATTTAATAATTATAGAATGAAAGTAATAATTTATACTTTCTAATTTCTTAGTAAAATTTTAATAATAAATTTGATATTTCAATAACAGTCTCCTATGATTATAATCTTATAAAATAAAAAGTAATATTTACAAATGCCTATATCCCTACTATGATTCAAATACATATCTTAAATTTTTATGTATTTATATATTTGATATTTAAATTTTATATTTGTATAATAATTTGATGTCCAACGCACATTAAAATATTTTTATGAAAAATAATATTCATTTTAGAATAGTAGGTCATTGAGAACAGCGATAACTAGCCAATTAAAGATCATACCCATCAAAAAAAATTTATGTATTAATATATCAAACATTTAAATATTTATATTTATATTATACTTTGATGTCTAAATCAAATGAAGATCTGTCTAAAATATTATATTAATATTAATAGTATTTTTAATGTGATTTTAAAATTTGAATATTATATAAATAAATGCAATAAATTTAGTTGAAAGGCATAAATATATAAAAATTTTGTAGAATGTAAATCTCTCAATAAAAATGTATAAGAAAAAAAAAATTACAACAATATATTCAAAGAAAAAAAAAATCTAAACTTTATAAAGACAACAAAAATTAATGAATTAGACACCCTACATCTAAAAATATAATAGCAATGACCAATAGATCCATTCTTATCAAATTCACCCGAGTCTTAAAAAAAAAAAAACAATTATTATTATGCAATCTATAACTATAAGAGAAAAAAAACATCCAAAATAAAAAAAAAATGCAAAATAATTAAAATTTTAAAAATAACAGTAAAACATGATATAAATTAGTAAAAAAAAATTGTTTAAAATTAAACAAGCAAATATAAAGCTACAATATTTAGAAGAATTTTTATACTTCATTAGTTTATTTTATCATTTTCAAATAATTCCATGAGAATATATATCCTTCATAAAGATTCAATAAAAAAAAAATTATCAAATACAAACAATGTGATTATTGAGTACCTTAGACTGACAAATTACACCAAAAAAAAAGCTCCAGATCATTATTGATCAGCCTCTCATGCTTCAAATTACTGAGAGGAAACTGATACAGCCATTAAAAAAGTTCCATTTATTGTTTGATTAGCTAGTAGACTCTTTCAGCAGTGGAGACAGGTTGGAGGAAGACAACAATGGCTGTAATGTTATCCATGCTACCACGTTCAATGGCTTCAGTGACCAATCTCTTGGAACACATCGTCGCCTCCTTCACAGTATCTCTAATAATGGATATCACTTCTTCGTTGCTCATAACATCCCATAGTCCGTCGCTGGCCATCACCTGTAACATCAAGTGGCTTCATTTCTTATGATACAACTGCCACTGCAGTGCTTGCTAGATGGTGTAGCAATTTATACCAGAACGAAATCTGATCGTTAAAATTATTTTGAAATGTGTGTAATATATGAATAATCGATTATTTTTTTATTACGATTTCATTTGGGATGGCTTTCTTACTACTTAAAGTAGTTTTTTAGAAAGCTGCTTTAAAAAGCAATAAGAAAGTTGTTTCAAACGAAATCTAGATCTATCATGGAAAATTAAAGATTTCAAAATCCATATTACTAAATTTAGATCAGGAAATCCTCACATAAAATTCGAAAAATGGCAGTAATTAAAAGTACACGCATCACCTATTATACCATCATGCAGTAGAGACTGATTTATCTAGATTTCATAATTAATTTAGAAGGTGATTACTTTTCCTTTCTTTGTTTGGATATAAAAATCCTGTATTTGCTTCGATTGACTAATGAAGCTACAATTGTCGAAGAACATAGCACAAAACTAGACTACTACAAAAGTTTAGATATGAAATAACCATTTGAGAAGCTAATAAATGAGTATAAAATTTTTTTCTGGCAGATGTTATTAGTGTTTTGTAAAATTGACGTGCCTTGGTTCAAAATGGATTTTTTCCTATTGGAAGCAGTAGATAGATTTACACCAAGTAAATTTGGCCTACTTGGATGAAGGGAATGAAAGCTGCCTAGGTGAATGTGGTGGCTAATATCGATAAATACTAATGCCTGCGTAGATTTGGCCTTTTCAGTTCACAAGCGGAGATTATCTAAGAAAATTCAGCATGCTCATATGAGATAAGTGAATATCTAGATAGATGTTCCCAAGTAAGAGGTTGATCAAGATGCGCGTGGCTAAACTAGCTGCTGTGATTGTGATCAATATTGATCAAGTCATCTGCTTAATAATTTAATCAATACAAAGTAGTTTAAGTGCATCATATATAGGTACTTGTGGGCTCCGAAAATTCAGCCTAGGCCTCCGCCCGCACTGTTTGCTGCTTTTTCTTTGGGGAGAGAGTTTTAATGGATTAAGTTCCGGGAAAAATTTTTGGAAGGCAGATGGGTTTGTAGATAAACACTATCCAGAGATTTTGCCCTCATTTTGCGAGGACTTTATGATATGAGTTCTGGTTTCCTATAGTCGCAAGCCCCTATAGTTAATTACCCCTCCCGATAACGAGAGAGAACTTCCGATTAAGGCTAGTCGTCAATCATATACGTGTTATCTAGCACATAGTAGCAGCATGGATTTGAGAGTTGAAGAGCTTGGAAATGGTTGAGAATTTAAAGGGTTGATATTTAAAATGGAAAATTTCACCATCTTGCACTTAAAGCGGATGGTGGGGGAATGGATGATGGACTCGATCAAGATCCCATGGTTCCGTCGTCCCGGGCCATCGTGGTCCCTGGTCTACTTAGTTAGAGGAGGTAGTCGACTCAACCTGACTGAAGGATCCTTGTCGGTAGCAATGGGTTGCTTCGTTCAAGGGAAACTTATAGACCTGAGGTGAATATTTACCTAAAGGGACAAATTTGAATCCACCTTAGCTAACAGAGGGCTTTGTGCCCTATCGATCATATTCTATTGATTCATATCTCAAGGATTTGATGCCATTAAAGAGCGTATTGGCTCTGACCATAACCGGTATTTCGTGGTGCCATTTCGCGGCAAAACCACTCAGTTTGGAGGGCCCCGTATCGTCATAACCGTTTATACTGCGATGCCATTTGGCAGCAAAACCCCCGATTAGAGGGCACGTACCACGTCCTTACTGGCAAGAGATTGTTTGAGAATAAATCTTAGTGATATTTTCGACCAGACATTTAACTCTATGTGAGCTGAAGTCATATTTGAATTTGTGCACCTCGGCAAACTGTTGCGGAGGGTGGATGGATTTTACTTTAAGTGGTTTGACGGATAGATTTCAGTCTTAAACAACGTAGAATTTGGAATTTGTTGGATTTTGGACTTTGTAGAGGTTTGAATTTTGAATGGACTTTTGGGAGGCATTTGAAATATTGTAGTTAACCCCTCCAGTTGAGATTCGCATTCAACACGACCATTATTGGGGTGTGTGGGGTCATTTCCATTTGTTGATTGAATCTTGTCGACTCGACCGAGCTACTGACCGAGGATCGGGTTTCTCGTAGGCTTTGTGCATTTGTTTGTGAATTTTCTTTATTAAAGGCCTTGACGGCCTAATATGAATGTATAAAATAAATATTCCGGTCGACTTCATGACTGTATATTTATCCGATGGTTTGAACACCGTCCACTCCTATTTACTTGCTTAGGAGGATCAGATTTTGTAGGCTTGGTGTCTTTGTTAGTGAATTCTCTTGATTATAGATCTTGACGGCCTAGTATTGAAACAAATACATCGATCCCCACAACCGTGTATTTGTTTGAAGGTTCGAACCTTGTCAACTCCTATTGATCTGCATAAAAGGATCGGGTTTGGAATTGAATTCACTTATTGACCCGCGCAACATCCCTAAGCATCACGGTGCACCAATAACATGCTCGCCAGGGCCCCTGTAGGTAGATGATTTTATTTTCCCCTTTAGTGTACCTATGTGTATACAAACTAAGATGCATGTGCAAGGGTACTTTGAAATATTTTAGCTGTACTAGTAACTGCCATTTGAATGCACACAATGTTTCATTTGAGAGCTTATATATGCCTTCCATCCGCTAATTTGAGTGTTGTAGATCCGGTGGAGGTGCGTTGTATGTTGTATACGCCTTCTGTCTACTTGTATAAGTGTTGCAGATCCGGTGGTGATATTATCTGGATGTCCTGAGACATATCATCATTTTGATGTTGACTCCTCTTTTCTCATTCACCGGGGAGGTTTTCTTTGAAGTTGGTGACCACTGCCTTGAAAAAAACTTTTTAGGATCATCAGTGTAATAGACTTATTGTTTCCATTGTTTGTGGACACCATAACTATTTTCTTCTTGAGTATAGGACTAAGGAGAGGCTTTGGAACACCAGGAAATTTAGTTCTAATTTGTTCAAACATCCCTTTCCTTCTGCCAGGAGGTGTCCTTTTCCGTACACCGAGTTGCCCTTGTACTCGACGTACTCGTAGGTCATAATCAACGTTGTCGTAGGTGACATCTGTACTTGTGTGCACAAGGGTTCTTTGTACTTACGATATACTCATTGTTGTTATCCACAAGTGGCTCGTGTTCATTTGTAGAGACCCGTTGTATCCACTACGACAACCTAAAAGTGTTCGTAGAGGAGCTATTATTTCGGCATCATGTCCACCTTTCACCAATCTCAGGTGGATTTGATGATTGCATTTATTTGTAAGGAGGGGTCGTATTTGATATGATCTCTTGAAAATGTTCGCAGGAGAGCCATTTGCACCTGTATCATATCCACCTTTCACCAATCTCAGGTGGATTTGATGATTATACTTGTTTGTAGGGGGTGGGTCCTCCACTATTGACCTCCAATGTCGCCTTCTTCAATCAACAGGCATTATTGTTAGTGTTGGAGGTTTCAATAATGCATTATGCAACCATTCGTTGTTCTTGAAAGCACGCTGCATTTAACCTGGGATTTTATTTCCCACTTGCAACTTGTTGTTAGCTTGGACGACTGTGCATTTGGGCTTTGATTTGTTTATTCATCGGACCCGAGTTCAAGGTTCAACTCATGCTTGAGTCTTGTGTGTTGTTGTGGGTTCAGCTCTTCGTATCCCATTTAATCTGGAGCTCCTTGAGTCCCCTGTTGCTCTTGAAAGTTCAGGTTCTTTATTGTTCATGTCAAGTTTGGATCCAGCTTGAGTTCAATTTAAGTTCCTTGTTCTCCACGTCTTCTTCCAGTTTGAGTTCAGAGTACGAGTTCAAGTGATCTTTGCTTAATTCATTTCATTTTCAAATTCAATTCAAGTTTGAGTTCTTTCAAGTCCGAGTTAGGTCCTTCTTATCATTTTATATTCCAAATCCTTAATGTATTTTGCTCAAATTTGGATTTAATTCATTTAAGTTCATTTTCATAGGTCCCCTGCTCATGCTCAATCAAGTTCAAAGGTCTATAAGTCCACAGTTCATGTTCAATTGAGTCCCAAACCAGGCCGGAGTACATTCATACATTTACCCAAAATTTCGGTAGCCTCTCGACGTCTCCCCCGTTTAGGGGAAAACTACGGAAAAACTGGGCCTCCCGCCACGCTTGAGAAAAGTGTGCACGGTAGGTGACCTTGGCTGAGGGCACCGCGGCCATAAAATCTGTCCCTATCACGTCAGAGAATGGCGTGCATGGGTCTTCGGTACCTGTTACAAGAAAAATAGTTGTTTCCCCGCAGGTACAGAGAAGTGTACTGGTACTTAAGAGTTGTCCTGACCACGCTAAGAAAAGCGTGCACCAGGCCTACCCGCCTCGTCGTAAGTTTCGCACCGGGCTACCTCCCATAACACTAGAGAAAAAAGTGCATAGAGGGTTTGCCGGCTCAACACGAACGCCGAGGATAGGATTTTGGAGCCAAGGGGTTGCTCGCCTAGCTCGTCGTAGGTGTCGCACCGGGTTCCCTTCCACCACGCTAGAGAAAAGCGTGCATAGGTGGTTTGCTGGCCCGACACGCATGTGAGGCAAGAGAGGGTATTTTATTATTATTATTTTATTAATTATAATTAATTATTATTAATAATAATTAATTAGAATTTAATTTATAATTAATTAAATTAATATATAATTAATTATATTAATTATAATTAGTACTTAATTAATCATGTGATTAATCATGATTAATTAATATTAATTATAATTAAGCTTAATTAACTATCATTAATTTATAATTGAAATTAATAATAATAATAATAATAATAATAATCAATGGCCAATTCGCTGCTGCTTCCTATATTTGCGTGCGCTTTGCTTGTTGCTACGCTCGCCGCCGCAGGAAGCTTCAACAATGACTTCGACATTACTTGGGGCGACGGTCGCGCAAAGATACTCAATAATGGGCAGCTTTTGACTCTTTCTCTCGACAATGCTTTAGGTTCCGACTTCCAGTCCAAGAGCGAGTATCTCTTCGGCAAGATTGACATGTAGCTCAAGCTCGTCCCCGGCAATTCCGCCGGCACCGTCACCGCCTACTATGTAAGTAACATTCTCATGCCGTTAGCTCCATTAAGAGCTCGAAATTCATTGAACTGATGGTGTCTACTGCTTCGTCTGCGCGCAGTTATCGTCTCAGGGGCCAACACATGATGAGATCGATTTCAAGTTCCTTGGGAACCTTAGCGGCGACCCTTACACATTGCACACCAACGTGTTCACGCAGGGGAAGGGCAATAGGGAGATGCAGTTCAAGCTCTGGTTCGATCCCACCAAGGATTTCCACACCTACTCTGTTATCTGGAATCCCCAACAAATTATGTAAGCCAACAAAAACTATCGCTTTTAATTAGATGCTACCATTGATATGAGAACTTTGAGAAATGCATGCGCAGATTCATGGTGGACGGGACCCGGATTTTGGGGATGTATGGCTTTGATGCTATCAAGTAGCGGCCGTTGATCTGGAGGAGGCCGATGCCTAACGTCCCGAGAAGGCTGAGCGGCAGTCGCCACATCATCGAAGGCTAGCACCCCCTCTCGCCACCGCCGCATCATCGGAAAAGAAATTCCCGCGCGAAATACAGCTTTCGGGGGTTGGTTCTGACGGGAGAGAAACGGAGTGTTATATTTGAGGAGGGATAGAGCTTTTAGGTGGTAGAAGAGTAAATATTAAAGTTTAGGTGTTAGATAAGTAAATAGATAGGTTTTAAGTGTTATGTATGTAAAAATCCCTAATTATAATTATAAATTAATTATAATTAAGTTTAATTAATTTTTATTAATTTATAATTAAAAATAATTAATAATAATAATAATAATAATAATAATAATAATAATATACAAAAAAATCCCTCTCCCCCCTCTATTTGGCGGATTGATGGGATGCGGCCGAGCAAGCGCTCGATAGGGAGAAATTTACCCTCACAGTAAGCGGGCTCTCGTTATGGCTTCTAATCCGACCGAAAGGGCAAGCCGTCATAATAATAATAATAATAATAATAATAATATACAAAAAAATCCCTCTCCCCCCTCTATTTGGCGGATTGATGGGATGCGGCCGAGCAAGCGCTCGATAGGGAGAAATTTACCCTCACAGTAAGCGGGCTCTCGTTATGGCTTCTAATCCGACCGAAAGGGCAAGCCGTCAGAGGGGGAAAGTCGGACAGCAACGAGAGAGCCGAAGAAGCTACACGAACGGAAGAAAGTTACTTCATAGTGAGCGTGCTCCCGTTCTTGTTCCGATCAAAGTGTCGTAGCTTCCGGTCCGACAGCAAGGGATCGTCGTCGAAGGAGGCGACATCGAACAGCCACGAATGGAGCCGTAGAAGCCACGTGAAAGGGGGGGAAGCTGTCTTCACAGCCGTGAGCTCCCTTTCTTGCCTCCGATCCGACGAAAGGGAACGTCGTCGAGCGACTTAAGTCGAATAGTTACGAAGGGGTCGGAGAAGGGGTGCGAAAGGGAGAAAGGGCCTTCACAGCGAGCTAGCTTCGGTTGTTGCTTCCGATCATAATGCCGTAACTTCCGATCCGACTGGAAGAGAGAGTTGGGGAGAGAGCGAGAGATCGGAGAGAGAGAGAGTGGGAGCGAGAGGGAGCAATCGGAAAGCCCTGAGGCTTCGTTCTCGCGTTCTTTTAACGACGCGAGGTTGTGTGAACGTCGTGGAGAGATCGTGCACAACATGCAACGACGTGAAATGGCAGAGAGCAGGTAAGCAAAATTTTTTTTTGTTTTTTATTTTTATTATTTTTTTTTTGTCACACAGGAAAGGGTCAACATTACTAGCTAGTCTACGGCTTCATTTGGTTATCCCTAAAAGGTAGTTTTAAAAACGTTGGTGGAGCAAATGGAGTTCTCAAACGGAGAAGCAAACATAAAGAAACTTCTCAAAACAGTAAAAAATTTGAAGTTCTGAAAGAAGCATTTCCACATAAGCGACATATTCAAACAACGACAAACACCGTTTCCAAACAGAGAAAGAGGAAAAAAGGCACGTCAAACGAGGCCTACATGTACTAGGGGATAACAATCTGTATGCATGTAGACTTCTAGTTACCAAAGACCACATGCAACAAATTTGTTGAATCATAGATGGATATAGTAATTATTAAAGAACAAATATGAATATAAGAGCAAGTTTTATGAAATCTACCAAGAACTCATCAATTGCTGACAAAAAAGTTTCTATAATCTCAGGCACCGCAGTCACAGCAGGTTTCAAGTCATCATCACCAATTGATCGTGTAACCTAGAAATAAAAGAAGAATCGTAAGTGTACTTATACAATAAATACAATAGCTTCTAAGAAACATATTACGATATAGGCCAACAAAATATGTAACATATCTGATTAGAAGTAAAATATTAATTTACTAAAATGCAATGATTGTTGGTAGCGCTGGTTGGTTGCAAGATCTGGCTAAATCTTGCCCTTCGGTTCAAGGCTAAATTCTGGGATAAGTAGGATTTAGGAGGCTTAGATTTTGTTTGGGATGACTTTCTTGTTACTTCTTAAAGTAGCTTTCTAGTATACATTTTTTAATTTTTTACTAAAAAACTGCTTTAAGAAGCAACAAAAAAGCCATTCCAAACGAAGCCTTACACTTCTCTTTTCTATATCATTTATTATCTTTCATTTAAATCATATATCCTAAAAATATATATCAAATAATTTTTATAGGATTTAACTAGATTTAACATCTAATATGCCAAATAATTCTCGGGATTTAAAGCCCCAGGTTTTTCTAAAGTCTGGATTTACAATTTTTACTAAATCCTACTAGTAGCCAAAAAGCCCCTGATATACTGAATCCATTTAAAGCAAAGAGAACTTACCAATGACCATCTACATACACGCCTGAAATTCTAACAATAATGGCTGCAACAACATTCAAATTGCATTCATTCAAGAAAGAAACACTTCAAAACAACAGTTCCCGAAAAACATTGGAAAAACCTGAAGCGCGGCAGCGCCAACCCTCCACGTATCCACCATCCATGTCACTTCCATGCCTTCACTCATTACACGCATCCTTTCCTCATCACAGCTTGCAAGATGTTCCTGCATCAAATTTAATGAGAGATGCAATAAAATATTAAGCTCGAAGAGTCGTTAAGGATACATTCAATTTCTTACAAATAAAAAAAGCATTTTGACACCTTGCTCATTGGAAATGGGTGGCCAGAACGACAGAGAATAGCCCGGCAATCACCAGCATTAGCCACAAAAAGCTTGTTTCTTACTATTAATGCTGTAAGTGCAGTGCAACCAGGATGCCAATCTTTCTTAGTAACTCTTTTGGAATTACAGTGTGACGTCAATTCTTTTCTGAATGCAATATCTGTATTCACAAATGCTTCACAAAGTGCCTTCGATGGACTGAAAAATTAAAAATGAGAAAGCCAAAAAAAAAAAAAACCCGTTATAATTATTGTCAATCAATAATAATAAAATTCAACCTGCTATTGTAGCCAGATCTCTTTAGAAACCCGGGTAGAGCTCGAGCAGAGAACTCAGCAGCCGCAGCACCTGGATAAAAGCTTAATGCCATGGCGTTAAGAATATTCAAATATCTAAAATACACATTAACACAATTTTGATATTTGATCTAGGAAGCCCCTGCAACAGGATGGCCTAACAATGTAATAGGTTGGGGGGCTAAATGCAGAAAAGAAAGTTACAAAAGGCAACCAACAACAACACAACAAATATGGCGTGCTCCAGGCACATGCCACATTTGTTGGGGGGCATTTATTGACCTAAAAATCAAATTATGTGCGAAAGAGAGCAAAGTCGGAGACAAAAAAAAACAACGCGCGACGTCAACCAAATGACCTCCGAATACAAAACGGACCGCATTGTTGCATTCAGGATGTCCGAATCGCTTAAAAAGGAATATAAATTTGCTCGTGGGAAATTACGCGCGCAAATCAATGCAAATTTGACATGAATTTTAGGAAATTACAAGAAAATCAATGTGAAAATTATTATTTTTTATTTCTGCCATTTTAATAATAATGACTATTATTATTATTTAATTATAATAATAATATTTATTATTATTATAAAAGAAAACAAAAATAATAATAAATAAAATCATATCCAATCAATGCGAAAACCTTACCTCGCCGGTGGGAGGATGTCCGGCCACGAGCTTTAGGCGATCCCTATTCGTCAATCGCCCATGATTTTTGCTGATGGTTGGTCGTCAATTAAGAGCAAGCACGATCTGTCTATCTGTCTGTACGAGCTCGCTCAGCCTCGTTGTCGTTAAAAATGAGAAAGAAACTCTCATTTTGGGACCTTTTCTTTCCCACAAGCTCCCCTTCCTCCTTTGATCTGCTTCTCGAACACTTCTCTTACTGAATCTCACGCACCTTCCGTCTTCTCTCCTGCTCGATCAAACCGGTCTATCTCCCCACTTCACACAGCTCAGATTCCACCCATTAGCCTTATTTTCTTCCGATTGCGAACTCCCTGCACCACTTGAATATCTCAGCCGCAGCCGACGCCAAACCTTTCACCACGATTCCTTCTCCTCAACAACCGGATAAGCCTTGACTCTCTCCCTCTTGCCAATCCAGACTCACATTTGAAGCTTGTCTTCCTATTTTCAACTAACAGTACTGCCACTAAGACTCCCTTACGAGAACTATTCCTCTGGCTTTAAGATTGAAAACTATAAAATGGAAAAACAGGGATTTATTGCTTCAAAGGTTCAGGATTTTTTAGTTTGGGCTGTTATCAAATATCTTTTGATACCATCTTCTTTGGGTATGAATTTTGGTAAGCGAAGTTATGAGGAAGGTTACTTATGGTTCAGCCTGGTTTTTTTGATCTTCATTCTCCTTCAGACCTGGGATAAGTTATTTTTTGGGAATGTGGATTTCGGTTTTTTGTATTCACATTCCAAATTATCTTTTGACCCTCTTAACAGCAAATCTCGGGTATACTTCAAAGATATTGGCAGCATTCGTGGGATGATCATGTGCACAACGGACGATGATGAGCATGGACTGTCTCTCCGAGCCATTGAGGGTCTTAGGGGCAACTTGGCTCGTTTTTGTGACTTTTCTGGACGGGCTGGAGGCACTGTGATGGCCAGTTTTGCTGGGTTACTCTATCGTTTACTCAGATTTTGTGGGCAACCGGTGCCACCGTCTGATTCCTTTAGTTCTTGCCTCCGAATTTTTTGATGATTGAGACAGTGCATTTATTCTGAGTCTATATGTTGTTGCCTTTTTCATTTCCCAGTTCTGCTATTGTCTTTGTAATTTTGTTTAGTTTTAGCTCTTTGCTTTTCTTTTTTTGATTACATGTAATCTGAACTTTTTATCTTAATATATGGGCTCTTTTGCCCCGGGTTTTCCCAAAAAAAAAAAAAACTATTCCTCTGCACGTGAACTTTCTAGTTCACGATTCCTCAGGGCAATAATAAGATAGAGGTGAAACTTTTTTTTAATTTTTTTTTTTTTTTTT